CTTCCTGTCTTGTACTCTCCTCCTTGTGTTTCCTCCAGGTATCCCACACCCCTACTCACCTCTGGGCTTAGGTCACCAGCCCCCGGTGAACCTAGTTTAAAGCCCTCTCACTAGGTTAGCAAGACTGCCTGCGAAGACGCTCTTCCCTCTCTTTGTTAGGTGGATCCCATCTCTTCCTAGCAATCCTTCTTCCTGGAACAACATCCCATGGTCGAAAAATCTAAAGCGAGATGAAAATCAAATTCAAAATCCTAATACTGGTACTTGTTCTTGAGGGCTGGCAGGTGTTTCAAACAAAAAATGGCAAATTAGAGCATTAAAATAGCCCCAAAGGAGCCCAAAACGTTTGTAGTACAACAATAACTTTACTATGTTATTTATTTCAAATGGCATTCAGTGATTTTAGCCAATGTTCATATTTTGTGTCAAATTTGTTAGTTACTGTTAGTCTCTAAAAGGCAATATTTCATCCTCGCCATCTTCGTCAGAAGTCAAGTATCAGAGGGGTAGCCGTGTTAGTCTGGATCTGTAAAAAGCAACAGAGAGTCCTGAGCATCCGACGAAGTGGGCATTCACCCACGAAAGCTTATGCTCCAATACATCTGTTAGTCTTAAAGGTGCCACAGGACTCTCTGTTGCTTTCGTCAGAAGTGGAATACTTCTGCCGCTGGTCATACATCACCAGATACCAGTCCAAACATTTCTTTCATTGGATCTTTGGAATGTCAGGTCACATATCCGAATTTCTCATTTTTTTACTCCAAAGCAGTTCACCTCAATTAGAAACCAAGTATTTTCCACTATTCCCACCTTTGAAAACACTACCATTATTTATGTGATCCCTTTTATTAGGACTTAATTGGACAACAGCTTGTTTAGCCTTGTCCATGTAATTCATAGTTTGAATGAGGTGTGTTTCCTTTTGAGTTAATAATTGTTTTAATTGTAGTCCCAGAGGGGGAATATATACCAGAAACATTGGAGTGTTTTGGACAATCATTAGATGGGGGAGATCAGGCAGTAAATGCCCCCCCCCCCCGGGGAAGAAGTTGGATTAAAGGGGTGGATTATTGTCCAAGGTATTGCAATAGGAATTATTTTCATTATTTTAAGATATATACAATGTAAGATTAAGAAATGAAAAGAAAGAGAGCAATTGCCTGTACAGGCAACAGATATTGATGCTGGTGAATATGTACCCATAATGCCTATGCTAGAGGTATATCAGGAGGTAGAACATCATTATGAACATAGAATCATAGGACTGGAATGGACCTTGAGCAATCCCCTGCATTCATCTTGTCCAATCCCCTGCATTCATGGCATGTCTGCACACATCCGCTATCCACCCCCTCATCTATGTAATGGGGGGGGTTATGCAATCACCCCATCAAAGGGGGATTTGTAGCCCATAAGGCCAGTGTGCTAGCTTGACATATTGCAAAATGTGTTTTCTTTATTGGTTTGATTGATTATATTATTTTCTTGGCTTTTTGTTTATGTTGAGTTCCAGTATATGTTATCCATAATAGTTATTCATCATAGTCAGCTGTAATGCAAGGAACCTACAGGCCTGTATCCTGTATGATTAGCTAGAGCAAGTTAGTATGTGGCTTTACAACCTTTGGTATAGATAAATGGCCTACCAGTTACCCCTTTTGACTTTGGGGAACTGAACTAAGAATTGAATATGTTTACAAAAGGTCTGGAACAGACCAGTAACTGCAGGGTACACCACAGAATATGAAAATCATAAGAGTCAGAAATTAGGCCAAAGGTAACGGTTTTGGGGATGAGATAATCGATATTAATATTATGAATATATGTTATAATATGTTAGCCTATAGAGTAAGTGTACCCGAAGATTTATCTGGTTGAGGAAATAAGATTTGGGCTGGAAGATTGTACCCTGATTATTGCAGTGCCAGGACCCTACAAGAGGGCAAACAACCATGCAGGAGGGTCAGTCTTCCTGTCTCCTAACAAGCTATCAGCTCAGCTTTGCAATATAGCTTACACTCAAACCTAATCCCTACTAACTTGGGAAACTTGGCCCTTCAAATTCATTGGGCATTCCAGAGACAAGGCTGCTCCACTATCTCTGTGACATTCCCCTCTGGTGTTATCGAGACCGGTGATCTGCTAGGTCACTCCAATCCTTGATTCTGGAAGCCAGCCTTAGCCTGCTCTGCTGTGAGATCCCCCACTCCTGGGCTGTTCACACACAGCCTCTGCCATGTAAGCTGCTCCTTGGATTATTCAACTGAATGACACTAGCCAATATCTCCAGTCCCGGACATAACCCTAGGAATCTCCGTTTTGCAGTGTCCAGTTATTCCCGCTGGATGCTGCAAATTTATATGAGTTCATCAATTAAAAAAAGAAATTGATAAGTACCAGGCCTGTTATCCCAAGGGGAGTCTATGACATGCTTCAAACCAAACACACTGCTTCATGTAGAATAAATAAACAAATGTATTAACTACAAAGATAGATTTAAAGTGAGTATAAGTCAAAACATAACAAGTCGGATTTGTTCAAATGAAATAAAAGCAAAATTCATTCTAAGCTGATCTTAACACTTTCAGTGCCCTTACAAACGTAAATGCTTCACACCACAGGCTGGTTGCCCTTCAGCCAGGCTCTCCCCTTTGATCATTCATTTTAATAAAGAATTTAACATTCTGATAATGTCCTCAGCATAAGTCTCCTTGCCACAGACACCACGAGGGTCTGCTCACGTCATTGAACTCTGAGTTTTCTAACCCTGTAGCCTGAATTGGGACAAGAACCTAAACATCTTCTCATCAGATCATTGGCGAGCCGTAACTAACTAGCCCATACATTCAGGTCAACAATATACAAACTAACACGAAGAATATTTTCTAAAAGTTCCTCTTGCATCTTGTTGCACAGTTTTGTTTTTATCAAGTCCATTTGAGAAAACAGTCTTTCATCTGCAGCGTTGCTAACAGGTAGTGACAGAAACAAAAGAGCAAATAAGCAAAGTTCACTAGAGTCTTTGTCCTCAGCGGCATTCGTGTGTTCGAGAACTTCAACCCAAACATGCTCAACTTGACTGTCCTGAGTATGAGGCCAGTGAACCATAAGCAAAACTCTCCACTGCTGCTCCAACTGTCCAAAGTCTCCACAAAACAATGGCAAAAATGAGAGATTACCTAATCTAGGTCATGAAAGATTTAGTACTGCAAGCGATTCAATCACCTGGATGTTTGGTGGCAATCCCTGTTTCATCTGTTTCACAAACTCCCAGATGAAATCTCGACACCTACCCTTGACATCTTTGACAACAGGAATGGGTAGTGTGTGTTTTGAAAACTACACCTAAAAGCAACTTCAAAATTGACTGCGCAAAGCGGTAAGTAATTTGGCACAAAGGTGATGTTGTAGTTTAACACAGCAGTCCCATTCTCAAAAATGCAGTTTCACATCTCTCACCAATAAGCTTTTGTAAAATGTCCTCAATTCCTGCAGCAGCATTTGTGTATTAGCACTTTCCAATGGAAACACTTGCTTTATCATCCAGGCTTCCTGAAGTATTGGACCTACAAAAATCAGGTAAATTTTGTTCAGCGGATTTTATTTGTCTTGGCTATCAGAAAGTGTAGCTTCCATTTGTCACACAGGGACTAATGGAAAGCCACCTTGCTTCAGAAAGCTGCAGTCTCTTCTTGTGGTCTGGAAGTATTGGAAAGTGTGCATGAGAGGGTGTCTAGGGTTCGAGGTTGATGGGGTGACATTGAAAGAGTTCAAGTGATGGTCAGATAGAGGGAACTCAGCAACGGAGAGAGCAGTGCTTGGTGATGGAGTGATAAGACGTTAGGTGTGAGGAGCTTCTAATACTGTGAACTTCCAAAATGCTGAGCTCAGCCAAACTGGGACAGAGCACCCTTGATTAATGAGGAGAAATCCTTTCCCAATCTTGTCAGACAGGATTAAAGTCAATGACCCCTGGTGATCATGTTCTGCAGATGTATTTGACCACTTTGTCACGAAGCTCTTTGGTTTTGACGCCATAAATGATAGGGTTGAGCATGGGGGGGATGAGGAAAGTGATGTTTGCCAAGATGATGTCAACATGGGGAGCGATGCCCTGACCAAACTGCTGTGTCAGAGAGGAGAAGACGGAGGGAGAATAAGAGGTCAGCATCACACAGATGTGGGCTGTGCAGGTGTTGAGGGTCTTCTGGTGGGCTTTCTTGGAGGAGATTCTGAGGACGGCCCTGACGATCAGACCATAGGACAGGGCAATGAGTGTCAGGTCTGACCCAATGACTACAAACAGTATCACCAAGTTGTACGTCATGTGGATTGTGATGTCCGCACACAACATCTTCGCCACAGCTAAGTGCTCGCAGTACGTATGGGGGATAATGCGGTTAGCACAGAATGGCTGCCTGCTGAGGAGCAGGGACCCAGGCAGAATGAAGAGAACAGCTCTTATCATACCCACTAGTCCTAGCTTAGCTATCCGTGCGTTGGTGAGGATGGTGGTGTATCTCAGAGGGTCACATATGGCAATGTAGCGATCGAAGGCCATTGTCACAAGGACGGCTGAGTGCATGACACCAACCGCGTGAAGGAAGAACATCTGGGTGAGGCAGCCACCCACAGTAATGCCTTTCAAATTGAACCAAAATATAAACAGTGCCTTCGGCACGACGGAGGTAGACGTGCCAATGTCTGTGAGCACCAGCATGCAGATCAGCAGGTACATTGGC